AAAGCCAGCATTCATAATATGTCCTCTTGAGTGAAAAGAGCATTTTTGCTTTTGTGTTTGGCAGGGGGCGGTGGGAGGATCTCTTGAAATTATGGCACTGGTCCGCCCATTGAAGAGTATTCCATTTGCTTCTTTCCGCACTCCCACATCGGCGTCGATTCAAACGCCGGCAGACACAAGCTCGGAGGTGACGTGCCATAATGAGGGAGCGTCTCTCCACGTGAACATGATTACGGTCATTGAGACTCTTAACGGGAGGGGAGGCGGCGTGCTGAGAAGATGGGGGATTTAGCTGCGCGTGCAGCTTTCGCCAAAGCTGAGGCAACGAGGCGGAAGAAGACCAGAGAATACACATGATCTTATTGTCTTGGTGCGTCTTGCAACATGTGCCCCGGTGCAGACAGCCCCTGTCGCTGTCACGGCGACAAAAGCGATTTGAATCGTAATTTTCATCCCGCCAGATGGAAGGAGGAGTCCTTCCGAGGGATTGTGGATGCGGGGTGGTCTGCATGCAAGACGGGGAGGTGAGGACGAGGGAGGGAGGACGATAGGGGAGGCCGCCAACCCCCGCCGACAGTGACGGAGGACCGGCCTTGATGGTGCGGCGAGCAAAAGCGCACACGGAGCACTCTCACTCCATTTGCCTTTCGCTCTCGCACCCCTCGCTCCTCTCCCTTGCCCTCGTGGGATCATTTGGTTCCACGCTTCACTTCTTTCCAGGGCTCTGGCAACTGTTGTAAGGTTAAACGTGCGCTTAGCCCAATGCTTGGTGGATGCGCCGCACCCACGCGGAGCTCAGATCAATTGTCACATCGGGGGCGAGCAGAGGCCGACAAGTCGTGAGGGAGAGGTCCATGTGACAGCTTTGCTTGACCTGATGTGCATGAGAGAACCACCATATGGGAGTGGGAATGAGTACACGGTTTATTCCAATCTCCGATTTTACTCCGAATATACACAATCACGGTCACAATAGGAAGTATTACGGTTATTTTGTTGTCAGATGGTGTCCCGGTAGCTTGTAACATACAGACGGTGGGCTGAGTGTGTGCATACGATCCATACGCTCCCGATCAGCCTCTTATTTGAAGACTCCACTTTGAGCTCCGCTATACTAAATTAAGTACCGCGCGAGCAAATGTGGGTTGCACCGACTGCGTAATGCGGATCCACTTAAAATGCTTGTTCTCCCTCTTCCGCAACATGTGAGGACTTTAGAAATGAGACATGGAAAACTAGGCGAGCGTGGAGTTTTCCCCTGGGATGTCGAGGACGCATCTGAGCCCGTCACTTCACTTCACGAAGCAATCCGTTTCCTGAAAAAGCCGCCAGCCTCCCTGCTTCGCTCTCCGTAGTGTGGCTGTAACACACACACACACACACACACACGAAAGAACAACTATTACCATTCACTAAGAAGAGGGGGGGGCACAAACAGGAGCAGCAGGAGCATCAGACTGCAGAGGCCCCTTAGTGGCTCATCTGCTAAACTTAGAGCAGAAATGGGCCACTAAGAAATAATCGTGTGTGTGTGTGTGTGTGTGTGTGTGTGTGTGTGTGTGTGTGTGTGTGTGTGTGTGTGTGTGTGTGTGTGTGCGCTTGCGCGCGCACGTTGCATTTTGACCATTGTGTCAAGACATGAACCAAAACAGTGCTCTTCTTGTGTCTTGATGTCCTTCTCATCCTTTTCCAATCGATATCACGGCCATTCAAATAACTTCAATGACAGCTTTCGAGATTTAAATGAAGGTTTTTTAAAAAAAAAAAAGTGCTTCAAATAGGGTCAGTGTTAATTAGGCGATGCTGTGATAAATGTGTGAGCTAATTAAGCAGGTATAGGTTGGATTAAGGAGAAGGCGGCGTCTACGATAAGAAGGGGGCTGATAAGGTACAAGCGGCAGGGGGTAAAAAAAAAAAAAAAAAAAAGGAGATGCGGGCTGCTTTTAATTGAGGGAGAGACGCGAGCACGCATGAGGAGCGGCAGAGCGAGTTGACGCGGCACAAAAGGGAAATGAAGGAGAAGGCTCGTCATCAATACGTAATTTTGGCTCCCATGCTGATGGCGCCACGCACACACGGGCTTTGTCAGAAATGAAAGCGCTTGAGCACTGTGTGTGTACGTGGGGTGTGTGAGTGTGTATATATGCCTGCGTCTCGACTCTCCTCGTGCATCTGTGTGTGAGAGGGAAAGAGCCGGTGGCAAGTTTTTCCTGCTTTCTGTCTTTTCAAGTGACTGTGTTGAAGTGAAGGCCAGCTGTTCCTCCCACCTGGCCTCCCACTCGGCTCTCTTTTTTCCAGCCTTCCAACCTCTCTCCATTTCACTTCTCTCCCGCTCCCTCCATCAGACGGCGTCAATACCAGCGCCGCTGGCCCAGCAGCCCCCTCTCTAGTTCAAAGGCGCCCTTACAGACAGGATAGAAATACGCTTTGCCAAAAAAGCCTCCCCGCAGTAGACAGCGTCATCCCATACGTCGCTACTCCTTTCGACCTCCGTTTTTGCCTTTACTTCGACTTGCACGTCCAGGTGTGTCTTTTTTTGCATCACTACTACCGAGAGGGGAGGTAATGGTCGAAGAATACAGTAGAAAAATTGCACAAAAAGCCTCTATTTTAAAATCCGTGACATCAATGGGGTCGTTCAACCTTGCATTATACTAATGAGACTTTTCTTTCGAAGCCACTCCAGCAGCTTTGGCGGAGGTCTGTGCTCTTCTGACATCCAAACAAATGCTCCAAGCCAGCAGCACCGCGACGTCCTTTCGAGTTGATTTGTTCTTTTTGCTCTGTTCTCTGACAAGAACCGCCGCTTCCCTGCTTTGTTTTTCCTAAATGCCTGTCCAGCACACGCACGCGCGCACGCATGCAGCGCCCGACTCCTGGCTGCTGTCCTGCGTCTGCTTCCGTGGCTCCGCACTGGATCACAGCCGAGTGCCAGCTTGGCCTTGTCCTCTCTATTTATTCCATTGTCACATTGTCCTCTGCCTCTGTCCCTCTGGAGGCATCACACCTCATCTCCTTCCTCCCGCCCTCCCTCGCTTCTGTTACAACTCAATTTTCCAATCTCTCTCGTTTAATTCCTTCCTCTCACACTTTTATTCATCTTTAATCTTCACTCTGATCTCCGTCCTCTCTTTCATAGAGTCCTTTTCCTGCCATCTCTCCGCCGGCCATGTATCCCACTATCGAGGGCCGCATTGTTTCGCGTGTATTGAAGCCAGCGTTTGACGTGAAGCGCGCATCGACGGAGGAGAGCGCAAACGACTCGGAAGCGAATCCAAGGCCTCCCTGGCCTGTTTCCCGAATCCGGCTGAGTGACTCGCTGGCCCCGTTAACCCCTCTGGGAATTTTAATACTCGCTAATCGATCACATTGTGCCAACAAGAAGTGCTAATGTGGCCGCAGCCTAATTATTGTTGCTGTAAATGAAGAGCGAGGTGTTTTGCGGCACTTCATTTTGCTCAAGGTTTCTTGCGCTCAAACCCCCTTCCATCAGCAAATTTCTTGTTTGCCCGATCACTTTACTTTCTCACCCTCTGCCTTTCTGGGCTTCGGTATCGGTCTTAATTATGTATTTTTCTTAAAGGCTAATGGAAATTTGGCTCTCTGAACGAGCATGTTGGACAGTACGTTAATACTGCTCTTAAGAAGAGTAAAATAGAGAGAAAGCCAGAGGAAACAATGGAGTATGGGGGAAAGGGTGGGCGGGGGGGTGCGAAAGTCTGAAAATTCAATTATAACTGTGGCCTGCCAGACATTCCGCCGGTATAAATGAGAGAGCGGAGCAGAGCTATGGTTGGATGATTAAGACAGAGCAAGATAAAAAGTTGAAGAGCAAATGGATTCTGCTTCGCGCAGAGACATGACTCCAGCATCAGCGCCCGCATCATTATTTCATGATTTTCAAACACAAACTCATTTGGCGAGTGGGCGCCGCGCTCGTTTTGCGTTTCACACGGCACACGATAACGACATGTTTCCATCCTCACGCGCGCGTCGTTTGCCGGCTGCGCCGTTAAATCGCAAGCTCCCACCTCAACGCAACAGCCCTGATCTCATTAATGCAGAAACAAGGTAGCGGATGAAGCTGTGCGCATCCCCAGGGAGGGCCAGCTTAGCCTTTGATGTGGAGAGAAGCTCAAAGGCGGTCCTAAGAAGCCGAAGAGATTTCAATAGCCTGTCAACTTGATTGTTAGTCACACCGCAATCTCACATCGAGGCGCGGTTACATATAGTGACCGGACCGCGTCTTTTGAAGACCGCCTAAAACCGTGCGGCTTGGATTTTTAAGGCATGCGGCATTTTACTATCTCGGTCAGCCATTTTTTTGGTCACTGTTGAGTACTGTACTGGTATATCGATAAGTTTCTACGCCAGGCGATACGCAAAGATATCAAGACTTGATGACCTTGGGCACTTCTGGATCTAAAGGACTTACTCATGCCACAGTATCAATCTCACGTCGCAGTCTTGTCAAAACTTGGACTTCTCACTTTGACCTCTTCTGTCCCGTTCGATATCGCCTTTCAACAGCGCTGGATATCCGTGCGCGATTGTCACCTGCAGACTGCACCACGGTTTAGGATTAAGATTCTCGACCGTCACGGGTCTTGGGTTAGCTTCTCTGAATGAGGCGTCATCTAAATGAGCGTTGCACATTTACCAACTGTTTTCAAAGAGCGTTTTCCCCACAGCGGTGTGTTCGCGTCAACCGATGAGAATGACGGATGGGATCGGGAACAGCAGTTTGAAGTCGCCTGAATAAGCTTGTGCCGGCCCTGTGGACAAACTGATTAAAGGAGTCATCAAGGCAACTAATGAAACTCGTGACCGCTATCATTATAAGCCGCCGGTGTCTTCTACGAGCAGAAGAGAGGCAGCTAATTTAAAGCAGCGCCGTCCTTTAAAGTAGTTGACCGATATCCGTTGTGCAAAGCCAACGACGGTAAATCAAAGTCCGAGCCAAATGCCGTTCCATAGCCTTGTCTTTCTCTCCTTCGCAGGACGACGACTCCATGTTCTTTCAGTTTGGACCCTCCATCGAGCAGCAGGCTTCGGTCATGCTCAACATCATGGAGGAATACGACTGGTACATCTTCTCCATCGTCACCACATATTACCCGGGGTACCAGGACTTTGTCACCAAGGTAATGCCGCTGAGAAGAAAGTTACGGTACATCGGTGTCATGAATAAAATGGAAACTACAAGTCCCAGCACAGCTTTGGTGTGTGCGACCCGTCCATGACGTTTCCAAGCAATTGCGCTCCTGTCATTTCATCAAAACAAAATGTTGCGGGTTGATGGCACAGCTTTGGTGTGTGCGACTCGTCCATGACATTTCCAAGCAATTGCGCTCTGTCATTTCATCAAAACAAAATGTTGCGGGTTGATTGCTTGGTGGAGATAATAACGAATCCTTTCAGAGTCCATCGTCCATCCAACCTCAATTTCTTCGTCTCCGTTCACCTTTCCAGTCAATTAATTAAGTCCGCATTCCAAAATGGCCTAGATTTAAAAGGCTGGTGCTCACCGTTCTTCCTTCCGTGGACTGGCTCCAAATCAAGGCACACTTCCTCCACTCTTCCGCCGAAGTGCTCCAAAATTGATTGTGAAGGTCGATAATAATTTATTCCGGCTACCTCAGCGGAGCAATGAGCTCCGTCTTTCTATCACTCACCATCTTCAAGCCATAAAAAGTCTGGCTAGACTGCGACCACTCCTTTAGTACCTTTAAAATCATTCGAAATACCTACTAATGAAATGTCAATAGCGGATCGTTTTGTTTTTTTCTCTCCAGTGAAAGATACATGTTCCGTTGCTCTCACGCAGTATTTGATGAGGCGGACCAAAATTTCACTTGGTGCTCTTAGTTTAAACTGATTTACACTTCAGACACGGTTGATACATTTGTTGAACCTTATTTTTCTGCCCCCACCCCCATTCCAGATCCGGAGCACTATCGAGAACAGTTTCTCAGACACGGTTGATACATTTGTTGCACCTTATTTTTCTGCACCCTCCCTCCCATTCCAGATCCGGAGCACTATCGAGAACAGTTTTGTGGGCTGGGAACTGGAGGAAGTTTTACTTCTGGACATGTCTGTCGACGACGGAGATTCAAAGATTCAGAACCAGCTCAAAAAACTCCAGAGTCCCGTAATTCTTTTGTACTGCACAAAAGAAGAGGCAAACACCATTTTTGAGGTGGCCCATTCGGTTGGGATTACTGGTTACGGCTACACGTGGATCGTGCCCTCGCTCATCGCTGGAGACACCGACGTGGTCCCTGCAGAGTTCCCAACAGGTAGGAAATTTGGATGCAGTCTTCGGATTTTGAAATAGGTGACTCGACTCTGACACATTTGCCACTATTCCACAACCAAATAACTCTGAGCATTTCGAGTTTGTTTGGCAGGAGCTTGCAGCGGGAATCATAGCTTTGACTCGTTGTTTTAAAACAAATGGAACATTGCCTGACTTCAGTTCAGGGGGGTGCATTATATTTCACGCTTGGATGTGCACCTGATTGTGTGTTGGCGCGAGGCCTCGAGATTCATAATCAAAGTGGACATGATGTCACTGGTTGTTCTCAGCTCAACATTTTTTAGCTGTGCTCTCGGGGGAGATTTAGCGGTGATTTACTGTCACTGTCTTTGTACCCTCATGTGTGGGTGGGCTCTGTGCGTATGCTTTGTCTGCTTGCGTCTACCTGTGAGTTTGTCTCCCTTTCACTTCCTCAAATTGTATCTATGACCGTATCGGTTGTGCAAATCACACAAGTTCCATCTTGATTCATGCAGCCAGAGAGGGGGGAAAAAAAAAATCACGACCCGCTCATGTGGTGCCCGGGTGTTCTTTCGGTTAACGCTGAAATATTATGAGATGAATCACATAGGACACCATGACAGGGAGAAGACTAAATGTTAGTTACTCATTTAACGCCTGATAAATCAAATAGAGACTGCTGCACCAGCATACATGGCAAATAGCAGATTTATCATCCAAGCATATGATGGTGAGATGGATAGACGCACAGACTGGCAGACTAACAGATAACTAGCTAGCTAGCTAGCTAGCTGGCTAGCTAGGTACGTATCTGGCTAGCTGGCTAGCTATCCTATATGATTCATCTCATAATAGATTTGAAATGGTACAACAAAAAAAATATGATGTCAGATTACATCCACCCACATCTGTATAGTTTTATTGCCACAAATACATATACTGCGGACTTTGGAAAAGGGAGTTATTTTCGATAGACAAAAGCAAATCAGCTATGGGAAAACAGAAATGTTGCCAGTTTATGCTCCTCTACTCTTAAGACTGGCATGTCTGTGTTGTGACACTTTGAAATATACCCTCAGAGATGTACAAATATATACACATCAAGGCCTAATTCCTCGGTCTGAGCACATAGACGCACACATTTTAGATTTCGTGAAAAATAAGATCCAAAGTTAAAGCGATAGGCAACTGAGGGCGAGCGAGTGCGTGCGTGTTGGAAGCGCGTCAACAGCGAGTGGTCCTGGAGGAAGAGAGCTGTCAGCGGTGAGGCCCCCCCACGAGGGAGGCAGTTTGCCAGGCCGCCTGTCTATTTCTCAAACACTGACATGCTAGTGCACTGGCTGACATGCGGTCATACACTGTCACACGAATCCAGACAATCTGATGGCGAGGGAGCGGGGCAGATTAAAAGGCAAACTGAGTGACAGATATCCGGATAAATTGTTTTGAAGGCAGCGCGGTCTTAGCTGAGGGCGATGTGACCCCGATCCCAGCGGTGCCCGAACAGGAAGGCCACTTACGAGCTAGTTCCACAAGGCGCGAGGGCACTTGTCGCCGAACATTGGAGAAAGAGGCAATCTTCCCCTTCAACTTTCCTTGTTTGAAACTTATTTGTTTGAGGCATCATCAACAACCCAAAATATGTCGAGTTCATTCACTTTTCACTTATTACTCCCCCACGTCAACCGGGAGAGACTCCAGCTCACTCTAATTATGACAAGCGCTGTAGAAAAAGGATGGATGGGCGATTACCAAATAGACTGGGAACATCTTATTGCGCTAACCTAACAAAATCCTGACAGACCAAAATTACCCGTAATTTCAACATGATCTATGCGCTGCGCTCAAATCGGTGTGTCGCAGAAGCCACGGTGTCATCAATTACCGCCGACTATTTGTCACGAGTTAATCATATGAGGTCAATAACAGCAGATTATATCAATGGATCTCATTATCAAAATGTCAACCGCATTCTAATATATGGAGCTAATTTTCCAACTAAATCACCCCCTCACATTGAGCGACTTTCAGTTCTCACCGTTTAATGCCATACCGCAAAACGCATTACATCATGAATCAACCAAAGTGTTTGCGTTGAAATGAAAAGTGACACCAGGTCGCTTGCATATGTCGGCACCTTTATTAGTGGACGGATGGGTTAGATAACGGAAAGAGCTTCGAAAAAAATGTTCCGAAAGCGACAGATTGGAGAGTGAGAGAGAGAGAGAACAGCACTCAGGTAGAGGATAAACAGACGCGCAGAAAGGCTAACAAACAGAGAGCGACACGGCTTCAGACTGACAGATGGACAAACAGAGCAAGGTGATAGATGCGCAACGGCTGCATCGTCTACCCTGTCTCTTGGAAGCTGTTCAAAACATGTCCTCTCTGTAGAGTCAAGCAGAATGATCAACACTCCCTTCCTGTTGCGACTTTTTATTTTATTTTATTTTTTTCCCCCCATCGGTGTCTCTTTGCTCCTCCCCGTTTGATCCCCTCTCCCCTCGCTCCTCATCTTGCAATGTTTACCTTTCAGATTTCAATCCTTCCCCAACTCGCGCTCAGTTTCAACAAATCCGTCTGCCGCCTTCTGGATCTCTCCAGCTGTCTTTTCGCCGTGCCCGCCGATGAATCTTTTTTCCGCTTGCCGTTTCTTCCCACCAAGGCTTGCTGTCTGTGTCCTACGACGAGTGGGACTACGGCCTCGAGGCCCGCGTCCGCGACGGCGTGGCTATTATCACCATGGCGACCTCCACCATGATGATGGACCGAGGTCCCCATACGTTGCTCAAGTCCGAGTGCCACGGAGCGCCTGACAAGAAGACCCCCATCTCGGGAAACCCCAATGAAGTCCTCAGGTGAGCGATGCTGAAGAATGCCACATGCTGTCAACTGAAAATGACATCACATGTGGTCAAGGGTCAGGTAACGGACCAATCGCGGCTCATGTCACGTGAATATGACCTTTTTACTACCGAAAATTAGTCACGTATCCCTTTAACATGTTGCTCCCATGATGGATCTGCGTGAAACAGTATCTCATCGATCCGACACAAATGTTACACAACTGCCATGTCTGCATTTTGAATCAGTTTCAGAGTAAATCCGGCTTGACGTGAAAGAATAAGACACTGCAAACACAATTTAATGTTATTTACTGATATCTAATTGTAAAAATGTCTCCGATGGCAATCAAAACCGAACCCCGAAGGCACACTTAAATAATGCCCGATTTTGACTGACGTTGCCGTCGACGTGTTCATTTTCGTCATCTGTTTGTCATCGTGCTTTCATTTCATAGGATTGTCAAGCTGCCCCGTGTAAAAATGTGCGGGAATTGGATTAGGCATCCTTCTGACTCTCCAAACCCAATTAGGGCTCGTCATTAAGATGCGGCAATGGAATGAGCACGATTGAGACACTGCTTTGTCTCTTTCCTGCTTTCGATTCGTTCCACGCAGTTCCCAATCCTCGACGTAAAAGAGACAGGCAGTTTGTAACGCGGATGTTTTAATATATTTTCCGATGTCGCTAAATAGGGCGCAGAAATATTAGGCAGAGCCGTCAGTGCCGTTCTACGCCAATGAAAAAAAACAAGCGGAATATGTAACATTTTATTGCTAACAATACAATAGCGTCAACGAAGCCAACCCGCCAAAATGGAGGAGCGCCTCGTCTCCCGAGACCACCGAAAATTGTCACAGATGCTGTTGCGCAACCCCAAACGCCTTCCTCCCCCTGCATATTGTGATCATCACCATCCACCATTATAATCATAGCGCGCTTGCCGTGAAAGTCCGACCCCGCCCCCTCAGCTGCCCGTCTCAGCGGCAGGCCCTTTTCGACCGGCTGCGAAGCGCGGCGTACGGCGTCCTAATTGGTCCCAATGGCGTTTCGGTGGGCCAATGCAAACCCCTGTCACGCTGCGCTCTAGAGCTCAGCACAGAATTCGATTCAGGGGGGCGGCATCACCTCTCAGACACTCCGAGTGTCTGCTTTGGTCATGTCTTTGCAGTGTGTGTGTGTGTGTTTTTTCTACTGTATAATTAAGAAAGTCGGTGAAGGCTGACGTGTGTGGAGCCCAACAGATTATGACCTCACTCATGCCTCAAGTGTGACTTTTGGAAAAAGTGTGTTTGATGTACTAGCTTAAGACTTTGCTGTGTCCTAATTTGTCCCATTTCCTTTTCCTGTCCATTTTGTCTGGGTGATGCGTTTGTAATAATATTCAACTGGGATCAGAGGTGAGGCAGTTACAGTATAAACATTTGGTGA